GACCAAGAAAGAAGTGATTGTATAGTAATTGTGTTTTGTAAAAATAGTCGAGTTTTAGTAGGTATTGTGTAGTTATGTCATTTAGAGTAATCAGGAAGTAATGTTATGAAGTTGGATATAATTAAGTATTTAGAGGTGCCTTGTTTAGCTAAGAGATCAACTTGATTATGAAAAAAGCTGTTAGAATGTAATTTAACTTTGTAAAAGGAGATTTTAAAGGATTTTGTTTGAATAAAATACTGAATGATAAATAAAATATCCCAGTTTTTGATATGTGAAAATTTGTGTAAGAATGGGAATAATTGGATAATTTTTAGAGCTTATAGGTTGTCGAGATGTATATTGCTTTGCGAGTTTATTGGAAGAATAAGTAGAAGGTAGATAATTGCTTCAAGTTCTGCTCGAGTAGAGTCAGAATATGAAAGTATTGCACAGTTGAATTTGATTTGAGTATTATATTTAGAAATCCATCTAATATCAATTTTTAGATATAGTGTTTGTGCATTAATAATTGAAGCATTTGTATATAAAGTGTTAATTTTTTATATCATTGAGTCTGCAATTATATAAAAAACTTATATTTCAAATTTAATTATACTTCTTATAAAAATATTTTAGGATCAAATTTATTCTATAAGAAATTATTACAGCTCTAAATATTGTTTTTTAAGATCTTCTAAATATTTTCTATAAAGTTAAAATTAGAAAATCATAAGGACTAATTTATATAATTAAATTTTTTTGAATTTGGCCAATTTGATATATTATAAATAAGAGTATTGTTATGCTAAAATATTTAATAGACTATTTAATAAATAAAATAATTATTTAGAACCTTTGGTATAAATGTTTTTATTAATTTTTTGCTTAAAATTTTTGTAATTATTAAAAAAATTATGAAACTATTAATGTTATTAAAAAAACATAATTATACTATTACTGTAACCTTTCTATATCTAAAATTTAGTTGCAAATATTAATGTTTGTATTTTTTATATATATAACATTATACTTGAACTAGTCAGAATTGTTTACTTATTTTTATATTCATTTTATCTGAAAAAATAATACATTTTTAATAGTAATTTTAATAATAATTATTTTTATTTTTATTTTTTTTATTTTTTTTTATTTTTTTACTTTATCGCTGTTTTTGAAATGGTAGAAAATAGCAAAAAAAAAAATTTTTGAGTATACCCTGTATACTGTGTATACTCATATACTGGATTACCTTAGCATGTCGATAGATGATCGATACTTGATTTATATACATATAGGTGCTTATCGTTATTGTTTACCAAACAATTATATGCCTAATTGTTCCAAGTGCAGCCGAGGTAATAACTCAATTCTAAAAATAAATTATTTACATATTGATCGATGTTTAGCATTAGAATTTTAAGTTTTTCTTTTGATAACACTTGACGGTTAGATCTATGCAATTTAGAACTGTATGTATAAGCGATCCCCAGATCATTCAAAAGCAAATGTTGGCAACATTGTGATAAATGTAACATGTTAGTCTGTTAGAAACTAGCTGTAATCACCTGAAGATTGTACATACATACTATTTGTTTTTTATTTGTAAATATATACACTCTTCGGTTACTAATTTAATATTCTTAGTAAGACATATTATATATGTTGTAAGTAGAAATTAGACTTAGAATTTCTTGTTACAAATCAGGCTTTTTCTATAATTAAGCAACTCAGTTTTACAACCATCTTAAGAAATTAATAGCAATGCGAAACATTATTTTAGTCAAACATCTTGGTACGTCATATAAATTTCTGGAACTTTTTGATTTTTTTGAGCTTTATCTCAACTTTTTATTCTGACCTTGCTTGTGTTTTCGAATCAACTAATGGTGGTAACTCTTTATATTCTGTATATGCGAATCTAATCCCAAACAGTAATTATTTTTTTCATAAATTATATTAGGCCAAGGACTTCTAATAATTCGAATCTATGATAAGTTAGCCATATTTTTTAACTTTATAGTAGTATTTGAATATTGTTATAGTGAGGTCATAGACAGAATTTCGTCTAATTGGCTAATAAATTCAATTTAATTTTTCATTATTTATGCAGTTTAGAGTACTTTTTAAAGAAAGAAAACTAAACATAATGAAATAGAAAAAAGTTATTTAGAAGGTTTCATTAGAGCTATAGGACTCCATAAGATCTAATTAAAAATAGTATAGTAAGAAGTTAATTTTATCAGGTTTTGAGAAGTTATTACTAAGCTAATTTTTTTAAACAGATGAGAATTAAAGCTTATTTTGACTATGGTGTCCTACAGCTCTAATGAAACCTTCTAAATAACTTTTTTTTATTTCATTATGATTAGTTTTCATTTCTTTAAAAAAGTACTCTAAACTGTAAAATTGAATTTATTAGTTAATCAACTTCTGTCTATGAGTAGTGAGAACATATAATAGAGTTTTTCTGGTTCTTATTTATCCAAGTAATTATTTCGCATTTCTATTTGATCATATGATAGGTTTTACAACTTATAATCACTAATCAGTAAAAAAACTAAATTTTAAACTAAATAGTACCTAGCTCCTAGAAAGCATACATATTCTGTTATTTTTAGAGATATTAATGAAGAATGATCCTAGTATAACAACCAAGATCAGATACATAATAAGTATTTAAGATTTTGATTACAGACTTCTGACATCTAACATCAAATGCATAAAAAAAAATATGCAAAATTCACAGTTACTAATTTTTTATCTATGTATCATTTTAAAGTACCATAGCAATTGAATAGTACTGTCAAATTTCTTTAATTTGATACACTTGGTGAACATTTTTTATCAGTATTGAGAGTTTATCAGGTTTGAAAATATTACTATTAGATATATATAGCAAAAACTAATTTAGTAGAATAATTTCTTATCAGATTTGACAAGTTCAACAGTAATGAATTTTTGGAGATCTCTATTGAGATGATTTTTCAAGTGTTGGTATAATTTACAGCACATATTTTTTAAAAATATTATGATATATTGTATGTAATTGAATTTTGTCTTTTGCTATTTAAGCAAAATAGTTTCACCTAATACACACAATAACACAATAAAATAATGTTGCTTTATTACTAGTTATTTTTATTATCTTAAGCTTTTGTTTTCAATGTTTTATTACTATACATTATTGTATTTAAATATTCTAAAGTTTTAAGATTAAATATTTGATATCAATATTAGTATTTATAGTTTAAATAGTCTATTACAATTAATAAATACTCTATCAAGATATTCCATGATTTACTAGTAAATATTTCTAATGATGTAGTGCTATGAAATATTTATTATATACATATTTATTGTCATTAATTGGATGCAATAAGGCTTTGTTCTGCTTAGTAAATATTGTTTTAAGAGAATACGTATAATATAATATAAAATGAGTTACTGTGTAATGTTATAAGTATTTAGGATGATCAAACTTTGATAATTTATTGGACTATTTCTTGAGTAGATACTCTACTCTAGGAATTGGATATGAATAGAAATTGGTTCTATATAATTACCTGAAATACCTTACGTTTTCATTTTTTTGTATTCAAATTATGCTATACCCAAATGTGTGATGAATTCATGTGTGAAAATGACCAAACTTTAATGAATAAGTCATGCAGACTAATCAAACTTAAGATTTTGCGAAGCAATCCCTTATATAAGCCATATACCACGTGATTTCATCACTCCTTTCCTGATATAAAAGAATACAAATAAATTTTAGTAGGTTTTATAAATTTAAATAGAGACCTCTCGATCTTAGCTTCAGCCAATTTCAGCTTCAGCTGTTACACTTAATAATACCCAGATAGAGATTTTCTTAACAGGTCCAATCTTTACTCTACTCTTAACATGAAGTTTTGTTATATAATATTATATAACAACTTATAATTTTCATCAAGAATCTATGTCTTAATTACTAAAAAAATTTGGCCTGAATACTCATAATGTTACGTAGTAACTTAAATAATAATTTTGTAATGCTACCAATATTTAACAATCTGCTTTAGTGCTTTTCTATTACAATTGTCATCTCTTTACTATATTTCTTATTGAAAAGAAGTATCATTCATTTTATACAAAAAAATTATTGATTCGATATCATTTGTTTCCAAATAACATATATAGGGTGCTTTGTGCCTCTTACATTATTGAATTAAAAAGTATAAATTTCTATTATACAATTACAATAAAACAGCCAAAGAAAATCCATTATTGAGTTTGGCCCTTAAAATCTATTTATTGTTATGTACATATCTAGTAAATAATCAAGAAACCCAATAATGATATACTAAAGATATTTAATTTTTAATCTCAGTGATTTAACAATTCTTCAACACTTTTTTAATGTACATATAACATACAATGATATTTTGAATAATGAATATTAAAGGTATTTAAGCTGTTAGTATAGTTGCTTATTACATATATAGTTAAAATGTCATCTTTATACAGAATTGGGACATGTTTTTCATACCAAAAATGCCTTTATTGCTTTAAAAATCCAGTTGAAGATCTATGTGAATGTGATATGACACAAAAACCTTCTCGCTCTAAAACCCAAATTTATAGTTAAGTTTATGATCCTATAAAAACACATTTGAATCAAACATTATTCCTTAAAAGATATAATAATATTTGGGGCTATAATTATGATTTCAATAAAGGCTTTAAATTTAATTTTTGTAATAATTGTCATAGGCACTATCAGCATTCCAAAAACGCAAACTCCTTTCCACCCAATGCTGACTATATCAGTGTTGAAGATTCTGATTCTTCGACAAACTCTAGTTTACCAAATGATGATTCTGACTATGTATTACCAAATGATGATTCTGACTACATATTACCAAATAATAAAAATTCAGATCTTCATTTGAAATTAGAAGCAAAAGTCATTATTAACATTGAAAACTTTACATCGATACCTGCAAAATGGTTTACAATTGATCTATATGGATTTGATATATTTCATTGTGACCTTATTAACCATATTCGTAAGCATCTTAATAACAACAACATTGATAAAGATAACTTTGAAATTACTTATAAAGTAAACGGACATGAGTAGACAATGGCATTAGATGATGATTGTGATTATAATGCATTCATTTCTGCATGCAAAAATCTAAGTTCAAAAAAATAATTGGTGCTGTATATTACATTAGAATCTAACAAGCGAAAAGCTAATATATATAAGTTCATATTATAATATTATAGTTATGTATTAGTTTATTTCCAATTTAACTGGCATCACACTATGTGAAAATTCACTAACAAAATATAACTACATCTACAAAATGCTAAATTGTTACACAATGTAATATAGTTTAGATAGCTTGTCAGTGATATTCATAAGCTGTTTATATATTTTTTATATGTATCAATATAATTTTTTTTAATTATATATTTATAGGAATTGTCTGATGAAGATAGTGATTCCAATGAAAAAATATTGAAGACAAAATCAAAAAAAAAATCAAAACCTAATTATGTACCAAAAGAATCAAACCTTACCACTAATGAGACCATATTAGCTAAAATTGCTTCACAACTTCAATTAAAATATCAATGTAATATCTATAATACACCTTGTTATATTGAGAATTACAAACACCTTCAGCTAACACCTGCACGTTTGCACTTATGGGCACAGGAAATGGTTAGTACTATGTAGCAATATAGATGAGCAAACTTGATAAATTTGAAAACCAAATACTTGGATTTGAAAATTTATTATGCACCATTACATTATTAGGCCAAATTTGTCGAATAATGGTAATTTGGCAAATCAGAACAAGTATTCAACAATTTGCTCAATATTAATGTTATCCAGCAATTTATGATCATAAGAGTTTTTTGAATAATAGTATTAATAAATATATATTACAGAATGCTAGATCTGCAACACTGGAAATACCACCTTCCTACCCAACATTTGGCATGGCTTATGTCATTAAAACCAATATACAAGCACAATTGAATATTTTATAACTGGCATTTACTTCATTTTTTGATTCAATTCCGACCCTTCATGAGTTTTTTAAAAAACTAAATGAAGTTTATGATGATAGTAATGATGATTATTTAAGATTAGAAGCAGTATTTGCAAAAGAAAAGTTAACTGTAAATGCTATTAAAGATTTAAGTGACAAATATCTAAGGGAACAACTAGGGGTTACAAAACTCAGATGGCTAATAAATATTAAACAAGCTGCAAAGAAATATTAATAAGATATATACATATGTATTAATATAAAATATAATAGATTTATATTACTACATACATAGTATAAAGTATATAATTAAATAAACTTTTTATCTCAGGGAGCAACTCTTTCCATAGATCACTTATACCAAAACTACCAAATAATATTTGATTATTTCTCAACTTTTTACTAAACAAACCTTACTTGACCTCTTAAGTAAAGTTGTTCAGCACACTTTTCACATCCCAGTCGGCTGTGTTTTACTTCTCAAAAACATCTGGCTGTTGAGAAAAGTCTCAAAAACTAAGTTTTTAGTTTTGTCCATTTATAGATAATTTTACTAATTAAACCTACTTTCTTACCTATTCAAAAGTTGTTCAGCTCACTGAGCCAGACATTTTGATATATATTTTACTAAAGACAGACCAAAACGCACAGAGATACAAGCGAAACTCTAAAACAAAAACTTGCCCTTTGCAGGTTTTTTCATTGGCAATTTTAGGAAAATTT